TCTCCTTCTAGCACCCCTATGATTCTGGAGTTTTGATCTGTTTTTACATTTGGGCAATATTTCTCTGTCTTGGTGTGCCTGTTACATAGTAAGGGGCAGAGCCTTAAATATTTGCCCTGGCAGGGCAACCCACTTTGCTGCGTTGTGGTGCTGTATGTGGGGGGGGGGGTCAGAGAGGGATAAGTGCCACTTGATCGGCTCTTGCTTGGCTCTTGCCCCAATGTTATTCACTTCCCCTGCTACCCACAATCAAATTGGGCCCTTCTGGTGCTGATTCCTGGGTAGGTGGATGAGCTTTTGTATGTTCTAGGACCCTGTGGTTCTCTTCAATGGACTTTCCTGTGAGAGTGAGATTTTCTCCCACCTCTGCAATTTCTGCAGGTTTTTACAGCCAGATTTTGAGGCTTTATTTTTCTACAATGTAACCTAGGATTGCAGGATTGTGCTGTCTGTCTCACTCCCAGTTGTTCCTCCTGTGGTTTATCTTCACACAAATGTGGGACCACCTGGTCTGCCATCCACTGCCTTGCCTGCCTAGTCCTTCAGCACCACCTTGCTGCACATCATCTCTGCCTTGGCTGCCTGTCTTTGTCCCTCCTACCAGTCTGGATGGATGTTTTTTCTTTAACTCCTTGATTGTTGGACTTCAATACAGTTTGACTTTCTGGTAGTTGTGGTTATTTTTGTTTTGAAATTCGTTGTTGTCCTTCTTCTGGTTGTCTGAGGAAGCAAAGCGTATCTACCTATGCCTCCATCTTGGCTGGAAGTTCCAAAACACTATTTTGAAAAGTATATATGCATTCCTAAATTCATTGTAGTGTTGCTTACAATAGCCAAGTTATGGAACCAACCTTGTTGCCCAATAATAGATGAGTGTGTAAAAAAGTGGTTGTACATATATGTGACGGAATATTACTCAGCCACAAAAAGAATGAAATATTATCATTTGTGACACATGGATAGACCTAGGGGCTATTATGCAGTGAAATAAGTCAGTCAGAGAAAGACAAATACCATATAATTTCACTTATATGTGGAATCTAAAGAAGTAAACACACAAACAAACAAAATAGAAACAAACTTATAGAAACAGAGAACAGACTGATAAGTGGAGATTAGATTGGTGAAGAAGGTGAAGGGATTAAGATGTACTCATTGGGAGATACAAAATAGTCATGGGATGTAAAGTATAGCATAGGAAATAAAATCAATAATAGTATAACACCTATGTATGGTGCTAGGTGTGTACTTAAAATGTTGGGGGAATCACTTTGTAAAGGATGTGGTTATTTAATCTCTGTGATGTTTACCTGAAACTAATACTACATAATATTAATTATAAAAAATCATATATGTGTTATATGTATGTTAGGCTTACATACATACATATATACATATTTATATAGATAGTATATACATACATATATGCATACATACTAGGTTTAGGTAGAGAATCATGGGTGTAACTGGAAGTTGGAGTAGTTGAGATTAAGAGCTCAGATAGAAGTTTTGCCATGGAGAAAAGCAAAACACATCTTATTATAGTTTAAGCCAAGAGGGAATGCATAGGTAAATAAATATAAAGGCAGAAAGGGTGGTTAATAGAATCAACATCTTGAGGGGGTTCTTGATGTTCTTAGCTAAGGAGAAGATGAATAGCTGTTATTAGGAATAGGAAAAAGAGCAAATTGATTGGCATAATAGCATGGGGACCAGAAGTGGATGTCACAGAGCATAAAACTAACATACGGGCAATGCATGTCTGTACTTTTTTTGGTGAGTAGAGCTCAACAGTCTAATATCATGAGCAAAGACATGTCTTTAGAGCCATCCCAGAATGGAGAAACAGCACAGTGGGTGAGGCAGAGGGATGAGGGGATGAGAACTATGTGGGGCAGAGATAAAACAGAGGACCAGAATGATGGGAGAAGGTTTAAGAGGAGAAGGACACAGATAAAGAAATTCAAGAGAGAGGCCCTTGACTGGTGTAGCTCAGTGGATTGAGCACAGGCCTGCAAACCAGAGTTTGTGGTTCAATTCCCAGTCAGGGCACATGCCTGGGTTGCACACCAGTTCCCAGCAGGGGACACATGAGAGGCAACCATACACTGATATTTCTCTCCTTCTCTCCTCCCCTTACCCTCTAAAGATAAATAAATAAAATCTTAAAAAAAAGAAATTCAAGAGAGAGAAGCTTGGCTCAGAGAGCAGAAAATGTGGAAAGTTGAGAATAATTTCTCTGAGCCTCAGTTTCCTTGTTTGTTAGTAGGAGCAGTCATGAGCATTGCTTTGTTGCCTGAAAGCATGAACTGTGATAAGAAATAGGTTGATTGATTGTGAGCAAGGTCCTGACCAGATGTGCTAGGAACTAACTTACAGAAATGTGAAAATGTTCAACTTGTTTCTCTATGCAGTACATGTTGTTGGACTTTCTGGACATCCCCTGCCCTTTCTGCTTGACCAGATTGTAAATTTTCAGAGAACTGGGCCAGTATTCACATAATTCGCTCAAAGTGAGACTGCCCTTGTGTCCCCCAAAACTAACAGACCAAAACCTACAGTGTGCACATTGTCACTGCAACTCAATTTGGGAAACAAATCCCTTCAGTCAAACACTGGAGTATCAGGTTAAATCAGTTTCCTAACAGTTTAGAGAGAGAGAGAGTTTTCTCACTTTCCTTATATAGAGCTATCCTCAGAGGATAGCAATTTTCAGGTGATTCTAAGGATAATTCCCTAAAAGCAGTTAGTTCCCAAAATATTTTGAGCAATGGAAGACTTGCTGGAATATATGTTTTCCCTTCCAAGGAGGTCTGTTGGAAGGCAGCAAGACTCATTTGAATGTGTAACTTCTAGGCTGTTCATTTAAACCCCTGTCTGAAGTCTTCATGAACATAGTTTGTAGTGCTTTCAGGACAATGCTGTAAGAAATAGCCAGACATTGATTAACCAGGGTCAGTCTTCATTGACACCTAAATTAGAACTCACATTTGGCTTTAGAAAGAAGTGAGGGAAATTTAAAGAAATCATGTAGTGATCTGAAGTGAAACAAAACATAACAAAATAACAAAACCATAAAGCAAAATAAAACATAACAAAATAACAATAAAAAACTCACCAAACCAAACAAAGAATAAAAAAGATTCCAAAGGGTATCTAGGAGCTGGTATAGATTCAACCATGAGAAACAATCAGACACAGTGGAAAGAACATAAAATCTGAGTGCAAATCCTGACTTCAACTTCTTAGCTGTGAGCTCTTTGCTAAGTAGATTCCCCTTTCTGACTCTCAGTATCTTCTTCTTTAAAATGAGTATATGCCCTGGCTAGGTAGCTCAGTTGGTTAGAGTGTTGTCCCCATACAGCCAGGTTGCAGGTTCACTCCCTGATCTGGGCACATACAAGAATCAACCAAGAAATGCATAAATAAGTGGAACAACAAAAATCAATGTCTCTTTCTTTCTCTATAAAAAATCTACAAATAAAAAAATAAAAAGAGCCATCCCCCAAAATAAAATAAAATGAGGGTAATGATAGGTATCTTATGAGACAGTTGTGGGATTCAATAAGAAAACATGTGTTGAGTTATTGTGCATTGTATCTGGCAAATACTATGTACCTAGTAAGCATCACTTTTACCTTTACTGTCTTTTATCTATTTAACCTACAGCATGGCAGGCATTATCTTCAGTTTTATTGTACCCAGTCCAGAATTTTCCTTTCTTTGTGATTGTACAATGAATACTTCCTGCCCCTCCCCCCACACACTTATTAATCTCTCTTCTTTGGAATAAAGACACTCTACTGAAGTATATCTGGAATAGGGTGGTCCATTGAGATGTTCACCAAGAGAGAGTGTTGCTCACCTTTGACGACAAACTTCACAATATTGCTGCGCTGCTCAGAGCCTACCCGGCCCTTGGCAGTACAGAAATAGTAGCCTGAGTCAGCCACCACTGCAGCGGTGAAGAGTAAGGTACCCAAGTTTGTTACTATAATAGGTTCTGAGTGGTTAGTCTCTTCCTTGTACCAAACATAACTGATGGGAGGAGAACCCCGAGCCTGGCATTGAAGGCTAATCCTCGTTCCCTGGAGCACTGTGAAGCCATAGCCACCGTCAGTCGTCACTGTGGGCTTGGAAACAGAGACTGTAAATGGAAGACAAGAAAGGAGGCTCTGGAAAGTTGTAAGAATATGGGAACATAAGGCTGAATCATCCTTTCTGGATATAGGGGTATGTTTATATCTATAAAGGGAACTAAAATGGGCTCCTGACGTGGGAGGAAGGCAGCAAATAGGACGATATAAATAAAAATAGCTTCCTTTAGAAGATTAGGTACCATTTATACTATCTGGTTTTTTTTTGGGGGGGAATTATCTGGAGCTAAAAATCAACTGACTCTTAAAAAAAGTTTTTTAAGCTCAAGTAGAGTTTTGGGATTATCTACAGTTTTTGGATAATAGGGGCAGATATTTGTAAAATTGTCAAGCCAACAAAACTTACCTTGGCTAAGTTTTATCCCTTTCCCTAGAGCTTCTCTGACAGCACCAATTCATTCTCCAATATCCCAATAAAATATACTCATTTTTATCAGTTTCAAGACCCAGAGCCCAAGAAGGGCAACAAGGCTATGGATGCTAGAATTTCTAGGACACTTGAAGTAGTAGGGTTGAAAGCCAGGAACACTTCCCAATACTTTAAAAATTATGCCATGAAATGGACCTGGAAAACAGTATAGTGATTGCTGTGGGTGGGGTGCATAAGGGGACTAAATGTCAATAGAATAAATACAATAAAAGACAAAATAAAAAATAGAGTATGCCATGAAATGGATGACTTTGAGGATAGTCTGCCTCTCCATTTCCTATTAGTTCATATAACTAATGAGAGACTATGTACACATTAACAAATGTCTCAGAGTTTCTCAGAGTTTTCTAAGATTATAGTCCTCTGTTAGGTCTTTGCCTATCAGTGATTTCCTACCTCCAGCAGTGACTCACGTTTTTGGACACGGAGCTCAATGATCTCATCTCTCACCACTTGGTTGCCATCAGGGGTCTGCCAAGTGACTTCACAAGTGTAATGGCTCCGATCATCCATCTCCAGGGTCTTCAGTTGGAGGGACACATCTCCTGGAACCTCACTGTTGACATTTAGGCGGCTCTGGTACTTTGCTTGCTGAATATGATCTCCAGAGAAGTCACGTAAGAAGATGGTGACTGGGTGAGAGTCACGTTGTACCAGCCACTTTACCAAGACTTGGGTGTAGCCTTGCAGAGGACCATAGGTGCAAGGAATATTCACATTCCCTTTCCAAGGCCCTATCACACTCTCAGGCGCTTTAAGGATTGGATGGCCTGAAGATGGGGAACAGAGAAAGAATGCAGACATTGATGACACATCTACCTGGGAGCTAGGGTGGATCTTTTCCACTAATCTTCTTCCAGCCCTCCCAAATCTCTGTCCCTTTTTCTTGAAAGCATTCTCACACTGCCCTCCTGAGAAACAAAGCAGCATTCTGCTGTAAGGACATCTATAGCAGCTAAAAATGCCTTTGTCTATGCATATGTATGTCTTCCCTCCAACTTTGGGGGAACTGTGATGCCTGCCTCACATTATCTTCTCTGGGAAGTTCTGTGGATTCTCACATAGCCTACTCTTGTCTGTCAAGAACATGGACAGCCAGTCCCAATTTCTCAATCCTGGACATCACTTCTAGAATTAGGTTAGACACAACTCTTCCATCTCAAAATAGGTGTATGGGACAAAGTTAGTAACCAAACTTCTAAAAATCACATGCTTTTTCCCCCTTTTCCTTCCCTTCCCCTTTCTTTCACCCATCTGTTCATCTTTTTCTCTTCACCCTCTTTCTTTTTCTTGTTCTTTTCTCCTCTTATTCTTCTTCTTCATTAGCAGCATAAAGAAAGAGTACAGTAGGCAAAGGTCATCACAAGAAAAGAAATATTATACTATTCCCCATGTACTGATCTCCAAAGTGAGGGTAACCTCAATAGCATTGAATTACACCTTCCAACAATCCCTGTGGTACTCAGAGAATCTAAAGAAAAATTAAGTAGGAGCACCAAGTGAAATCAGGAGGGTAGTAAAAGACTGCATGATAAATAAGAATAACCAGCATTTTTACACCAGTATATACACCAGTATAAATTCAAAGTCTGCAGTACTATTACATCTCTCTGTGTGACCTTGAATAAATTGCTTACTTGTCTGAGCTTTGGGTCATTATCAATAAGATAGAGGTGAAAATAAACTTTATATTAAAGGTTATTGTGAATACAAAATGAACTCAGAGGTGTGAAAGTACCTAGCATGCTAGTCCTTGATGCGGACCCTGGCTTGTGGGGGCCGTGACACTGTAGCAGGGGGAGAGACATTCACACGGACTACCAAGTCCTGTGGAGGAAAAGGGTGAGCATGGCTTTTCTCTCAAGGGGAGCAAAAGCTGCAGCCCTTGCTGTGACTGGCCTTTATTGGGTTTCTCAGCACATTACATGATGGTCCTCATTTACCATGCACAGGTTGCTTTAGGTGATTACCTTTTACCATGAACAAAGGAGATGCTGCTGCTAATCACATCACAGAAGAGGGACATTTGCAAATGAAAAGGGCAAAAGAGGTTGAACCGGTTACACTCATCCTTGGGAGTTTTAGCATGGATTTTAGGAAGTTATTTTGTAGTAAATGTTTGCCAAAAATCTGGGTGAGGGAGTTTTTAGCAAAAGCAAGACTTGAAGTGGCCTAGGCACATTGTAGGCCTGATTCCCCATGGGAGAACCTATCTGTGGGCGTGGGTCCTGTGCATCTCCCAGTGGGAGCTGGGTCCACGCCACACAGAATGTTCTCCTACAAGTCCTGTCTAATGTCTCAAGAGAAACTTTTCATATTTATCTTGATTCTTGTTATCCTATAAAAATCTTCAATATGTTTTCTCCAGGGTGACTAGATTAATTAGACTAGATTATTGTCAGCTTTAATAATTACCTGAAGGAGAAGTTAGGACATGAGCAAGTAAGGAATTATCCTTCCCACTCTGATGGGATCTGTTAACTTCCAGGGAGGTAATAGGCTATCGCTGGGTTTGGGGGCAACCAGAGAGGACACAGTTGCCTGTACCTCCAAGAACAGGACTAGCATAACAATCATTGTGAAGTGTTGTCCATATTAAGCAATACTCCTGACTTTCCTGGAAGACTGGTTAGGAAAAATCTACTTCAGGACAACCTCAACACCTGAGGGGATCCATGAAAACTACCAAGATACTTGGTATAACATATCTTGAGGGATCAGGCAAGATAATATTTTTGAGATTTATGGAATGACATAGATCCAAGGGCTTAGAAACCACTAGCTGCATTCCCTCATGCTATATATGGGTAAGGCTGAGGCCCAGAGACAGAAGATGCTTATCCAAAGTTACACAGATAGTATGAGCACAGCTGTACTTGGAGGTTCAAAATAAAAGCTTTCAGGAGCTATGCTGCCTTCTTACCTTCTTAAATTCCTAAACTTATTAAGGATTTGTGGGCTTCATGTGTGCCCGGAGCCAGCAACCTCTTCTTACCTAGGCCTACTTGACATGATTTGAAGTGATATTATCCTATGGCTGGATAATATCCCCTGACTGCCTGAAAAAGAATTCCCCCATCTGCTGGCTACTTTCTAAAAAGACTTTCCTAGAACTTTAGAGCCTTGTTCTTTTTCCTCACAAAAGAATTGAATTTCCTTCTAATATTGTCTCCCCTTGGGGGAAAGACCAGAGCTTGGTTGAAAAAGGGCTTAACTTGAGAAAGAGGGAACAGTACTGGGGCCCATTCTGGTTCTGGACCTGGACTTATAAAAGCAAAAGTCCCAAAGAAAGGGAAGACCTAGTTTTCTGGGTGTGAGCCCCTTTATAGAGCTCAGACTGGGTCCCTTTTTGAATCTTCCTCCTCTCACCATTGCACAGAGGGTGGTATCTTCCCATGCCCCCATACCCTTGTGTCTGGCCAATTTCCCTGTGTTTGGCGTGTCTCTTGGATAGAAGAGTAACTTAGATAATAAATGTTTATAAAATTTAAATGTTATGATTTATTTTTATTATGCTTATTTAAACATGCATATTAGATTTAACAGCTGATTCTGGCCCCTAGAGGCTTTTTAGAAGTGAAGCCACAGTCCTACAGAGCTTTCCAGCTGGGAAGGCCCTTTGAGACCAGCCAAGATAATCTCCTCACTGTACAGATGAGTTGGGGACACTAAGATGCAGGGAGAGGGAAGGTGTTGTTGGTAACTCAGTACATCATGAACCTTGGGTCTATAAGGCAAGACCTACCACTCAAATGAAAGTGCTGCTCCCAAGTATGGAGTACCTAACAGTCTGAGGAAGAAATAATACACATATAAACTCTCACATGCATGCCCACACATGATTTAAATTTCACATTTACAAACAGTTTCTATTAGCCCGAGCCCTGCCTCTACAAGTCCCACCTCAAACCAACACATTTGAAGAAGGTAAGGAAGTGTACTCTAAAAAATGAAAATATTGTAGTTGTAGAAAGAACACTATTTTTAGAAGCATTAATTGTGCTGGTAATGCTTTTCCATCTCAGGCCACTTAATTTTATCTTGAGGTTCTAGAACTTGATGGAGAGCCCCAGGATAGGATAGTCTAAAATGAGTCAGCTATGAAAAGCTGCATTCATTCTAACCATAAAATGACACCAAGCTAACACCTTCCAGCCTCTCACTGTAAGAATATGGGACAAGCAGGGGTTCATCAAGAACCCCTTTGACCTCTCATGGTTGCATTTAGCTATTACTGTGTTAGTTTGTTAAAGGGCTATCTCAATTCTCAGGGATATAAATAAAGATAGAGGAAGACCCAATGAAATAATGCTACTATGGGATAGTCAAACCTCTTTGGGGTTTGGGATATGTGTCCAGCCTTAAGTTCCCACAACTTTTGGGATATGTGTCCAGCATTAAGTTCCCACAACTAGCCCAGACAAACTGGGCCATACCCACAGGGAAGTGAGTTACTCCAGAAAGTGGTAAGAAAGCAAGTTCTATGAAGATGAGTTGAAGGATCTGGGGCTGTTTAGCTTGGAGTAGAGTCAAGGGGGCATGATGTCTGTTCTCAGAAATGTAAAGGGCTGTCACAGTACAGAGGGAGCAAATATAATCAGTGTGCCTGCAAGAAACAGAGCTGGGACCTTTGGATAGAAGCCACAGAAAAGTGGATTTACTTCAACATGAGGAAGAACTTTCTAAGAGTTGGAGATACACCTGTATAAACTAGATGGCCTGGGGAAGTAGTGAATTATCAGCCACTGGAACTATGTGAACAGATATTCTGAAAATTTGTTCATTACAGTGAAGGGTGGATGTCAGTTACTTTTAAGGTCCCATCTAGCTCTTCAACAGCCTTTCTTCTGTGGGAGATATGTATATTAACAGGGATCAAACTCTGAAGTTATAATGGTAGAATTTAAGTTGAAAGACATTAGATGGAGGAGGGATTTGGGTGGCATTGGGCACCTTCTGACTGTCCCTGAGATAAAACAAGTACTATAAAATTATTTGGATACTTTCCAAGAGAGGATCCTTTTCAATTTCTATGCAAACCTTCCTCGTGGCTTCTTCATTAGCCTTCAACTATCTCCCTGTCTTCTGCTCAAAGCTGAGAAACCCTGCACCATTGGCTGAGAAACTCACCTGCTCAGCAGAAATAGGCTTTCCTCAGTAGACATTCAATTCCACCTCCCCTCCCCAGCCTTTTGCCTGTGTCAGCAGTGGCATCTAGGCCACCATTTTCTGCCTTACCATAGGTGATCACAATTAGGTGGTCCAGGAGCAGCAGGCCCAGTAACAGCCGGCCCAGTAACAGCCCCATCACAGCCAGAGTCACTTCTGTCCTTTCTTCCAGGCTCCTGCTGTCAAAGAGTCTTGAACTCTTGATTGCTGCCAGTGTCTGTGCCTGCTCAGCTCCCTTCCTTCCCTATATCTCTTACTTGGACTTCCAGTCCCATCTCACATTTCCCTTCCTTCCCTATTTCAGTACATGTCACATGAGCATCCCCCTCCCTCCTGTGCCTGGGGTTAGAGGTTCGATGGTGAAGGAAGACATTTCTCCCCTTGCTAGGGGGAGACTTTCTCTGGAGTCAGTAGGGCTCTCTGGTCTTTGATGTTCCAGGATGTGTTTATTTTAAGTTTCCTCCACAAGACTTAGAGGTTGGGGGTGACATTTGGGATAAGCCTGCTCCCTCCAGTCTAAGGATGTTTTTCTTTCTGGTGGGCCTATGGAGAAGAGATCCACATATCTGGCCTATGTAATATTCAGCATCACAGTGTTAACTACTGCCTGTTCAGCTGGATAAGGCTGTCATGGGGGGAATATATCCCCATTTCTCATATTGAAAAAAACTCTCAAAAATGTTTTCAATTAAAGTTTACACTCAATATTATTTTATATTATTTTCAGGTATACAGCATAGTGCTTAGATAATCATACACTTTACAAGAGGTCCCCCTCCCCGATACTACCAGTACCCACCTAGCACTATACATAGTTATTAGAATATTATTGACTCTATTGATTATGATGTGCTTTACATCCCCATGACTGTTTTGTAACTTCCAATATCTGCTTCTTAATTCCTTCACCTTTTTCACCGAGTTCATCAACCCCTCTCCTCTCTGGCAACCATCAGTCTGTTCTCTGTATCTATGAGTTTGTTTTTGTTTTATTCATTTATTCGTTTATTTGGTTATTTATTTATTTAAAATATTTTATTTATTTATCTTTAGAGGGGAAGGGAAGGAGAGAGGGAGAGAAACATCAATGTATGGTTGCCTTTCGTGCATCCCCTGCTGGGAACTGGCCTGCAGGGAACCGGCCTGCAACCCAGGCATGTGCTCTGACTGGGAATTGAACTGCGATTGTCTGGTTCAGAGGCCCGCGCTCAATCCACTGAGATACACCAGCCAGGGATATATTTGGTTATTTAGATTCCACATATAAATGACATCGCACGGTACTTGTCTTTCTCTGAAGAAATTTCATTTAGCATAATACTTTTTATTTTTTAAATTTTGGCATCTTTTTTCTTTTCCTTTTTTGGTGTTCAAGTACAGTTGTCTCCATTTCCCCCCACTACTCTTCCCTGCCCCACCAACCCCTACCTCCCACCCTCAATCCTACCCCCCCTTTGGTTTTTGCATGGGCCTTTTATATATGTTCTTTGATGACCCATCCCCTTATTTCCTCTGTTCTGAATTACTTTCTCCTACAGCTCAACATTTTTGGTGGGAAAGCCTACCATTAGTGCTCATCTTTTATTTATTTTTAAGGGAAACAAGTTTTTCAGGTTGAACTTTTTAGTGACTTTCAATTGCTAGAGACCCCTGACATACAAGAGAATGACAGTAAGCCTTCTAGGAAGCTTAATTGCTTCTTTTCACAGGTCATGAAATGACTATAAGTCCACCAACAGTCTATGTCTAGGTTTTACACTGCCCAGAGTCTACTAAGCTTTGAAAATATAGACACCTCCAAGAGGATAAATGTATCCAACAAATTTATCCTAACTTGTAAATAACATCTAATCTGAGTTTTCTTTTTAATTAGAGGGATAAGAGAGGCCTTGATTGGAGAGGGGTGAGCTTTGCAGAGAAGTGGAGTAAGATTCCAAAGGGAGACATTATTTCCTCCAAATGCTTGCCACGGGGTGCTTACATACACATGATCTGGGCTCTGCAAGGGCTAAGAAGAAACTCTAGCATTTGGCCAAGAAACTTTACCATTACCATATGGAATTCTGTCAAGACCCTCTGCTTCCCAAATTCAATCCCCCTTGTCTGGTCATCCCTTGTTTTTTGGTTACTTCATTCAGTCCACATTACTGGAATTGGGTCCTACAAAGGGGAATATTTTCCAACCAACAACCTACCACCACTACCACCATACATCTACACACACACGTGCACATGTGAGTGCACACACACAACCTTTTCCCTCTACATGATAAAAATTTTAAGGCCATGCCCCATTACATTGATGTCAATTTCTTTCTGGCCTGATGGATTAATGTTTTTTTAAACTGCCCTCTTACCTCCTGTTAGAACCTCCTGGATCTGAAGATAAATAAATATCCAGGGGGGCAGTATTTCTCTGGTGAACACTTCCAGTCCTGCAGTGAGCTCCGTAGTCCTCTTGAGCAAGAAGAACACTGAAGGGGAAGTCAGGAAGCCCAGAGATGGACCTGGTTCTGCATTTACTTTATTCTGAGACTTTGGCCAAGTTAAGACTCTCTGAATCACAGCTTCCCTAATTTTAACATGAGCACTATTAGACTTATTGTTTGTATCTTTTCAGATTAAAAAATCAAACTATACTGTACATATGACAACACGTATGGCAATGATAGCTACTATTTCTTTTTATTATTCATTCAAACATTTACTGAGTACTTTCATGTGCCAGGCATGGTACAAGGCACTGGGTATAACAACAATTAAGAGAAAGTCCCTGAAGGCGTTCACTCTCTAGTGGTAAAATATTGAGTAAACTGAGGCACAGACTGGTAAATGACTTACCCAGTGAGGTAGAATTAGCTAGATACTGGTAAGTGAGGGACTTGTGATGGAGAGAAGACAGGTTACAACTAATTCATCATAAGTAAACCCCTTTGATTGAAGAGTAAGGCTGCATACAGAAATACAAATTCTGCTGGCAAAAAGGTTAAAATAGTTCCCAATTGTTATCGTGATTGAATTCATGTGTTGTAATCAATTAAGCCAATACCTTATGGCATTTCTACACTTGCCCCTAAAGGCTTGGGGCATGCCATCAGTCTGCTCAGTCTCAATAACTGTAAGTAGCTTGAAATCCAAGTGTAGCACTGGGAATAATACTAAAATTCTTTAATTAAATCCATGAACTTTAATGATACAGTATATTTATGATACTTCTACATGTAGAAGTTTGGGAAAAACTCTCCTGTAACCCTTATTCACAGGAATCTAACAAGTTATAAATACTACAGAAATTAGAGAATTTGCTACTTTCCATATGTACATTGTTTTGGCTATACAGTGCTGAAAAGTTTCACATAGACATATGTCATAAGTAACCTAAACATTGTACAGATGCATACAAAGACATCACATTTAGATTCATGTCTATACCCATCCAATGCACAATAGCTAATTACAGATATGAACAGTGTAAGAGAATTTATTTTTTAACTTAATTTTTATTGTTTATACTATTACAGATGTCCCCATTTTTCTCTTGTCCCCCTCCAGTCAGCCTTTGTTCCCCTTTCCTTCAGGCCATTATTACACTGTTGTCTGTGTCTATAGGTTATGCATATATGTTGTTTGGCTTTTGTGATCCTTGTGATAATGACATGTGATCCTTGAAGGAAGGGATAGAGTCCATGAAAAACTATCCAGTTCAGGTATCACCATTTTTTTTAGTGATACCCTTTGTGATGAAGTTGTTTCAGTAGTCAGGATGTCTATTTCACTGACAAAAAGCAGCAAATGATTATAAAAAGGGTTGTTTTTGAATGTGGAAACCATAATTATCCAGTAATCTAAGTACTGAACTACTCAGAGAACTACTGGCCTAAATGCTGCCACTGAGAATGAGGGAACTTCAGGGGTCATTCATTTGAACTTCAATATGGGATGTTAAAAAAAAACTGACTACACAAATTCTCAAATCAAGTGGATTGCTCTCACTTCAAGAAAAAATTTAAAAATTTTGTATTATTCTTGTTTATTCTGTTACAGTTGTCCCAGTTTTTCCCCCTTTGCCCTCCTCTGCCCATTCCATCCCTCGCTCTCACAGTCAATCCTTACCCTGTTGTTCATGTCCATGAGTCATTCATATATGTTCTTTGACTACTCCCTTCCTCTTCTTTCCATCCTTCCTCCTGCCCTCTCTCCTCTGGTGACTGTCAGTCCGTTCCATGTTTCCACGTCTCTAGTTCAGTTTTGCTTGTTAGCTATTTTTGTTCATTAGATTCCCCTTATAAGTGAGTGGAAACTACTATGCTAAGTGAAAGAAGTCAGTCAATGAAAGACAAATATCACTTCAAGCAATTCTTTACTTTGCTGTGGAGGATTTTCTCTTTTATCATGGTGTTTGCTTTTAGATGAAAAGGTCCGTACACCTTCACACACCTTGGTACTTGAGCAATCCTGTTCCTCTTCACACAAATAGACATCAATGGACCCTTTGGTGCTTCATATATGTACCATGATAGAGTCTTCTCTGAGAACTGGAATATCCAGTCTAGTTTCTGCTGAAACTTTAACTAAAATAACATCTGTTTATGGAAGTCTCCAATGTTATGATGATCTTGATATGTTATACATGCTAGCCCTTTTTTTGGTCACCTGTTAACTCAACAGCTGAGCACAATTTTTAATGAATTCATCCATAGCATCTTCCATCACTGGTAGGTCAGAAAATTCCTCCCAGAGCTTCTTCTGTTGGGCCACTGCTCCCAAATTGCTGACATCAGATCCTATCCATCAAATGTAGTTCTTAGATTGTTTTTTAACCACGCCAACTCTACTTAACACGTTGGTGATGTCATATATTCTTCTTTTTCATACTCCCAGTTTTGTTGCAACCTTATTTATGTCAAAAGATCCAAAAATACAGCTAGGAGCATTTCTGAAAAAATCCATAAATTTCTGACTTAAATAAACCAGTGATGCATCAAAATGACTTCTCTTCACTTTTAGAGTTTTACTCATACACACATTTTTGACATTATCTTCTAAATTAATCCTTCTTTTTAAAAAAGATTTTATTTATTTATCTTTAGAGGGGAAGGGAAGGAGAGAGGGAGAGAAACATCAATGTGTGGTTGCCTCTTGTGTGCCCCCAAGTGGAGACTTGGCCTGCAACCTAGGCATGTGCCCTGACTGGGAATTGAACTGCAATCTTTTGGTTCTCAGGCCCACACT